TCTTGCCGCACCATTGTTCTCCAGTGCCATTTTCTCAAGGAACTCAAACTTGACATCAAACCCAAAACCAAGACAGTAGAGTGGGAACTTTCCTGCAATGGCTCGTCTGACATTTGACTGAATAACTTCAAAATTTGTCTCTCCTGCAAAGACACAAGACATGAGCTCAGGTTTTCTACTGATTCAGTCAAGCAGCTATTGAAACCATGAAGGAAGTCAGAAGATGCTCAAATACAGGAGAACTGTTTGGATTATTTTAAAGTTAGTTCAGTTCAATTCAGTTTATTTATATAGCTCCAAGTCACAACAATTGTTGTCTCAGGGCACTGTACACAAAAGYAAAAAAAACAATATATCTATAGAAGCCAGAAGATTGCACTGAATCATTTCATCTCAGTCTCCCATCCTGAGAAACACATTGTCAACAGTGGAGAGGAAAAACTTCCTTTTAACAGGAAGAAACAGCAGAACCAGGCTCAGGACAGGCTGTCATCTGCCTCAACCGGCTGGGTTTGAAGGACAGGAAAAAGACAGACAAACACAGGTCTGGTCCAGGTGTATTTTCCAAGAGAGACAAAGAAAACATGTTATTAGCTTCCATTAGTTTCCATCAATGTTTTTATAATGCACATTTTTGAAGTATCGCAACAGAAAAGGTGAATGGAAATGGCATGATTCGAAAAAACTTCCTCTAATTCGCAAAAAAGTTGATACGCTCACTTGAGGCATTTTTTGGGGGGTTTTCAAAATAGAGTTAATGCGCAAAAGGAGAGATGGAAAATGTGGCCAAAATGTTGTTGGTGTTTATGGCAGCAACCAATGAAGGACACGTGATGAGAAAAGCCTTTAAATTTGACAAATCATGTTTTTAAATCTTTATTTTTCTACATTTGACTAATTCAGTTGGGGTCTATTTAAAGTGGAACTGCAGTGCTTTGGTCTGAATTTCTATTTATTGTATCTCCACAAGCCCCTCTTCCATCTCTTTTCTGAGCTAGAGGAGAATGAAGATGACAGAATTATAGTTGGTAAATTTATACCTTATTCATCAGTTCCATTGCGAAGTCTGTGATGTAATAGTTCAGAAAACATAATAAAGAAAAAAGAAAACTGAACAGTTTGAAAAATATAAATTAAACAGTATATAAAGATATGCAGCACAGGGAGAGGCTAGATACAATTTTTCTGCACTTCTAGAGACTCCAAGTGCACACCAAAATTTATACAATGGCAAATAAGTGGATTTTGCATGTGTCCCCTTTAAGCTAAAAGGTAAGCATTTAGCCCTTGTTGTTGTGGAGGACTCCTGAAGCAGTTGACAGGTTAAAAGAAGTGCTAAACTCAGGTGGTGGTGAAATTGGGGGAGAACATGAAGAAGTACTGGTGATTGGTGTCATTGAAAATCTGGCAAACAATTCAGCACTTCAGAAAAGCAACACAGGTCTCCTACTAGGCTGTGTTTGGTCTGAATGAAGAACCTCTAAACTGGACTGGAGACATTGTTGAGCCATGGAAAGTTCACTTCTGACTAGCATGTCCACTATTTACCATTTCCCATATCATGTCCACTAGGGAAAAAATAAACTCAGAACATTTGAAGGAAGGCAGGTCTAGTACCATGGCAAAAGCAATGGAGAAATTTGTAGAACTTTCCCATGGAAGGGTGCTGCAGGTGAGCTGATTGCTATTGGGTTGTTGTGGTTGACATATATCTTCAATTCCTCATGGACGACTGGGAAATGAGACCATGAATTTATGGTGGTCCCAATTTAAAAATAAAAGAAACCGTCCTCTGTAGGAACTCAACGTGATTCAAGGTTCTGTCTGACTGGTAAACCTCAGATTTTTCCATTTTGTATATGCAAACAAGCACTGTGGTATGCAAAGATTCCTGGTCACAAGTCTACCATTATTGTAGGCCATTWATAATGTAGAAAAACACAGCATATATCAGACACTCTGTAAGAAGATGCACGGTGAGAAATTGGCACAAATAATTTTATTTGTTTAAACAACTTACTTTTAAATGTAATTATTGCAAATGCTTTTTGGGTGTTAAGTTTTTTTTTTTTTGTAACCAGCAGGTGTGTTTTAGCTCACCTGTAGTTGGATCTCCATCTGTGAGAAGGATCAGGATAGACGCTGAACCTTCTCTGGGATGTGCGTTCAGCATACGGGCTCCTTCCAACACTGCTGCATTAATATTTGTAGCTYAAAAAGAAGGTTAAAAATGTAGGAACAGTCCTGTTGCCAGATTTTCAATTTTTTTTTCTCTTAAAAAAACCTAACCTCCTCTGTCCATAATATTCTGTGCAAATTCCTTGGCTCCCTCCAAATTTGCGCTGGTGGCTTGAACAAGTTCCCGTTTCCAGTGAAAAATTTGGCTATCAAATGAAATAATACCAAAAAAGTCCTCCTCAGCCAGGTCATTCAAAATATGGATCAAGGCAATTCTAGTCTGTTTAATAAAAATAACACAATTAAAAATAAATCAGGTGTGTTCATACATTGTGTACTTGATAATAAATAATGTTAATAAAATGTTTGAAAGCTTCACCTGTTCCATTTTTCTGCCGTGCATCGAGCCACTTTGATCAATAATAAAAACAATGTTTTTTGGTATTCGGGGAAGACTAGATGGAGCAAAGTGATGAACAAAGTATCCATCTGAAGTCTAAGAAAGAGATAGTTGAAATGAAAATATTGTTGATGAAAAAAGAAAAATACCATTACATAAAACTTTTTACCTTGATGTCTCCCAGTCCAGAGTCTCTGTTGACGTCATAAACAATAACCAGATCTCCATTCATACCTTGTTCTCCACAGCTGTCACAAGTTTTCTGCTGATCAACAGTTGGATAGAAATACACCCAGGCCTGCAAACCATWTAAACCAGGATTTATACAAGCTTCAAACACAGTGGTTATTTTATTTATATCATATCCACCAGAATGACACTCAACTTGGCAAGTATACTAAAGAAAAATAAAAGGAATGCAAATGTGAAATACGTAACTGTCCTAAACACTGGTTATTGAGAGACATAACTTATCTTTAGTATGAAAACAAACCAAACCAGATAATTATATAAGGAATGTTAGCCCTAGATAACAAGGTGAAGACAGAAAAGAAGCATAGCAACACTCCAAGTTGTACCTTGTTTCCCTCATGTGTTTTGGTGATGGCATTAGCCAGGGCTTTAGTGCTCAGTCCTCCTTTCACATCAACAAAACTGATCCCAGCTTTTTCATAGATGTACACGTCAACCTGACAGTGAGTGAAATGAAATAAATGTCAGCAGTGTTCACTATGGAAGCTCCTGTTACTGAACATTGTTTTCCTGTTGGATCAACAAACCTTGAAGTCTTTGACAGGCTGCATGGGTCGAGCGTGYATCAGCAGCTCATATTTGCCACGAGTGCGTTTCAGAAGTTCCTCGTACGTGAGCTCAAAGGTGATCTTTTTGTGAGCTGCCACAGTTACAGAAGTTTTAAATTCCTCCATGGTCCTCCCTACAGAGCTGCAGGAGAAACASGTATTAAATGGATATACYTCATGGTTGAAGAAATTTATGAACAAGATGTCTGGAGAGATGAAGCAAATGACAAAGCAGCAATTAACCAACCATCTCAGAAGACTAAATATGGAACATTAAAAGGGAATCGACTATCTAGAAATTAAAATAGAAGATTCAGAACCATATTGACAAATGAATAATGTTATGATCACAGGACTGGAGGTTAAACCACAAAGCTTCTCATGGACAGTGAATGGTAACAGAGAAGAATTCAACCTAGTARACAATGTAATGGACCTACAATGGAGTAAATAGGTTTTTGAGCCTTTAACAATTTTGTAAGAATACCCATTTTCAAAACATGGTAAATGGCCATATCTTGTATAGCACTTTTATATGGACTCCAAAGTGCTTTACACATGAAGAGTGTTTCATTTTTATGGTAGTGTCAATTTATTAGAGTGATTTATATCTACAAACAATTAAATAAAAAACACACAACACATTAAAAAGGTCAATAGATTTCAGTTTGAGTAAAATACCTCTTAACACAAGAAAAAATTCTGGCTCACACACGCTCCGTATGACACTCAGGTGACAAGTGATTGATTGATTGATTGATTGATTGATTGATTGATTGATTGATTGATTGATTGATTGATTGATTGATTGATTGATTGATTGATTG